TGACTTTGTTCCACAGCAGCAGTTTCAGCCTGATACAGGTCAGTTTAAGTACAGTGTGTTCAAGTGTGGTGTGTCAAAATTTGCTTTTCTGTTTTTTTTTCCCCCCTCCTCTTAACAGCCATCTCTATTAGTAGTTAACTGGGTACATTCAGGATTCCAACACACCTTAACTTACACTCGTCTCTCCTTTTTCAATGATCTGCTTGCAATTGCGTGCAGAAAAAAAGAAATCCTGCATGTTTCTATGGACTTGGGTGCTGCTGGACAGGAGAAACCTATGGTGCTGTGAGAGGTTACTGAAGCAAAAATGTAAAATTCACAGGTTTGGCCCTGGAGATATGGAACATGCTGAGGAGATGACTCTGCTTTGGGGGATGGTGGTGGTAACTTAAGATTTTGTAACTCAACTGTATTTGGCTGTATGCCTGCATCATGCTTGCCTTTAATTTGCTCTAACTGGTGGATGCAACAGGAAGGGAGAAATAACCAAAACATGTAGTCTGTAATTTCAAGTGGCTTGAGTAGAAAACTTTTCTACAGTATAAAATAATTAAAAATCAGGTTCCAGAATAACTACAAATCCATGACGCCGTGCTGTATTTCCTAAAAAGAGGAGAATTTTAATTTTTAAAAACTTTCTGCCAAGTGACACTGAATCTACAGTTCACCTTGCAGCAAAGTGATGAAGTCAAGCAATACAATCTGAGGCTAGTGCAGCCTAACAGTGTAAAACCAGTATAAAAGCATGTAAAACTTTTGTACTTTCCTTGTAAGGAGGCATAAGGGGCTTGAAGAGACTGAAAATTCAGCATCTTTGGCTCAGGTGGGTTTTGCTTGGTAGTATCACTGCAGCTACTCAGCCACAGAAGCCTTGTGCCGGTCCTGGTGCGGAAGCATCATGCCAGTCAGGCTGATGGGTTTATGAGCAGGGGACACAGTGTCGTGGCTGGGGGCAGCAGGGGACGGCTCTGTGTGCCTGGGTCGTGGCAGGAGCAGCGCCGGCATGGGGCCGTGGGAAACACTGGGTTCCTCTTCTGGGCAGCGAGCAGGGTTGCAACACGTAGGTTGGGTGATGGGTGGCCAGAGGTTCCTATGGTCCTGGGCAGGCTGGTCCTGAGGGAGGTGGGTACCACCCCACCGAGGCAGCAGGAGCTTGGCAGGTCACCCTGGGAAAATACAGGACTTTTATGGGAAGGTTATAACAGTAAATTTGATTTATGGATAACAATTTTTGCACCAAGCCTTGGATTTTTGATGCAGACGCCTTCTTCCCACTGCCAATACTTGAGATCCCAGCTGGTGAATTAATTTCAGGAAAGTTGTTCTCATCCAAAATTTGGGTATTTCATTTCAGGTTTGGTAATGTCTGGATGGTGTGCAGTGAGGGTAGGCAGCAACATGCGTTTTCATTAAGCATCTTTAGGCTTACTGTTCCTGGGATTAATTTTTACTTCCTTGAATTGTAAACTGAAAGCTGCAAGTTTTAGTGTGAGATGACAGGTTGTGAGGGTTTTCAACTAACTGTTTTCAAAAGGAACTAGTGGGTAACTTTGTTTCCCAGATGAATTCAAGTGTTCATGGTTTGGGGCTTTCTGTTGCTTATATCCTAGTCAATTTATCTAATATCATTCTCACATCGCTCACATCTTGCTACTATTCCAGTGTAGCTGCTTCACCTTGTGTGTTTGTCATGGAAAAATGACCTGTTTGCTGGGAAAATACAGTACCCAGGAGAAAATAGGGTGGCAGGCAAAACCAGTCTTCAGTCTTACACAGGTATATGGAGAGGTGTACTCTCCAGGGTACTTTGAATATCACCTAGTCGAGCACAACATCGCCTTTGTACTCTGAAAAGCAGCAGTATTGCAGTCAGATGCTGAGGCCGATGCAGGCACTTGTCATCTCCATCCCTCCCACTGCCATCAACCATCTTCTCTGCTTTCAAGTTTTTTTCCTAAATTTGGACTTTCGCACTGTCATAGCAGGAGAACAAATGTGCACGTCCCATGCATGAGATGCGAAACTGGCTTCTTTGCATCAGTCTGGCATTTCTGGCTGTCAGAGAGGCTTTCTCAGAAGCAGATACCAAAATATACGTGGTCTTGCTGCTGTGTTCTGTTGTGTAAACCCTCCCATGTTACCAGGTCGCTCTTCCTCTGGTCATTCTATTACAGTGTGTGGTCAGAGATGTTCAGAATAATGTCCACTTCATACCTGTCTTTAAAAGTTCACTATTTAATTTGACATACAATTTATGTTTTCCCTCCAGTCTGCAGAATATTTGTATTTTTAGCAGCACGTAAAGGACCTCATTTAAATTCTTTGGCTCCATAACAGCCAAAAAACAATGTCAGAAATGGGGGAATAAATTTGCTTTTGAGTTAAACTTCGGAGAAGAAAGATGACAGAAGATGCAGATATATTAGACAACACTGTGAGACCTTGTGACTGTGAAAAATGAAGCTGTGATTGACATGTATTGAGCAAAATTCATGGGAACATTTGAAGTAAGAGCTGCAGCTTGAAAAATAAGAGAACAGAATCTCCCAGCCATCTCCATGCCTTGAAAGACATGTTGGCAGCGAGCAGGTTGCATGAAGGTGCAGAGCAGTGGGCTGAGCCTTGGAGCACACTGATGATTTTGCTTATATCTCCCCCATAATTTTTTTTATTGTTTTTTTTTCCCCCCTCGAGGAAAAATCATGTCAAGTGCAATGCCTTTGGCTGCTCCATCTCATCTGGTGCCACGAGCTGCGGCAGCTGGCTGCGCAGTGCCTCATGAGGTGCAGCTTCAGCCAGAAGCTGGGGTAGCGTGTCCTGTGCCAAGAACCTTTCAGGTTCCTCCTGGTGTCCGTTAGAGAGGTACAATGGCAAGTTGGAATAAACTCGGTGCTGAGCAGCTGTTGCCCAGTGTTTTTATCTGTGGGTAGCAATGCTCTGCTCCTCTTCTCTGAAAGGAGGTGGACACCGGCACTTTGGGAAGGAGACAGAGCACAGCAACGCAGGATTCACTCTCCAGCTTTAGATGCAACACAGGAGTCAAAATGCTTTTCTTTATTTTCAAAAGGCTTTTCAAAATTTTGTAATTTCTCGTGGGACAATTTCAAGTCTGTTCTGCTATGGGAAACCCAGATGCCCCAGGGAGCTCCTTTCAAGCCCTACACGGAAATTCTGGATTATTGAAGTTGTTTAGCTTTCAGATGTTCTGGGTAAATCACTGAATTGTTCCTAACATTATGATCAGGAAAATATGTTAAGGCTGTGGTGGTGGCTCTTAATTTTGTAATTTCTCGTGGGACAATTTCAAGTCTGTTCTGCTATGGGAAACCCAGATGCCCCAGGGAGCTCCTTTCAAGCCCTACACGGAAATTCTGGATTATTGAAGTTGTTTAGCTTTCAGATGTTCTGGGTAAATCACTGAATTGTTCCTAACATTATGATCAGGAAAATATGTTAAGGCTGTGGTGGTGGCTCTTAACAGTTTTTTCCCCAATCCTGCTGTACGACAGGCAAAATGCAGCCTGCCTCTGTAACAGGGTATTCTAAGAGGCTTTATACTCTCCTAAACATTCCCAAAGGCTAAGCCACTTGCAGCTTTGGACTGAAATTATATTACCCTGCTGTTCTTGAAATGTGTAGTGTCCATCTGGGACCCATGGCAAGTCAGCAGGACTCGGAAGGACGGAGCCATGTAGGTGATAACACAGCGTGACTTCCCAGTGCTTACCCTGGCTGCACTGAGTAGGGTTTATAATTGGTAGCAGAAGTGTGGGAAACACTTAAAAATATTTTAAAAAGCTTTAAAGAACAAAAAAATTTTGAAAAAGCACAACCAAGCACTGGGGAAGGGGAGCAAGGGGAAGATACCAGGACGATGTATAGTTCTGGGGCTGGCTGGAGTTTGTCCCTTTACAGAGCACTCGGGAGCGTGGGCTGGAGCTCCCGTAGCCCAAAGGGTTGGCTTGTGGTAGCCTGGCTTTAGGTGGTGCCATAGGTGTCGTGGGGTCTGAGCTGGGCTGGTCGTGGCTCCATAAAGTTTCAGAGGAAGAGGATTTGATTTACCATCCCTCTGCCCTCTTCCTTGTGGCCATCCCTGAGAACTGTGGTTCCCTGGGGATTTTGTCTGCTTGTGTTTTCTCCCCAGCCTGTTAGATCAATCTTTTCCTTTGGTAAACTGCGAGAAACTATGGCTTGACAGGGAGGATGCTCCTTTGGGCTTGCACGGGACAGCACTCACGTCGTGTTTGATGTGGGAAGTTATCTTCCTCCTACGTGTGTGTATGGGACGAAGTAGAGCAGTGGGCACAGACCTCGGGGAGCTAGACTGGGTCTTGTTTAGACCAAGGCTGGTTCATCTCGGAGTAGATGGGGACTCTGTGGTCATCTTGCTGCCGAGTTACTTTTCTTTTGGGGGTGTGTATAGATGGTAATCGTCTAGTGGCCAATTTAATTGCTGCGTGCACGCTTCTGTAGGCAAAACCAACTCCTTATACTGTCTCCTTTGATGTTAAATCTGCCTTCGGATGCCCATACAGAGCATCTCCTGGCTTCACATCCAGAGCTGGAGGGGAAGAGCATTGTGGTTTGATGTCATCCACATGAACGCTCTGCAGCACCCAGCTGGTGTGTGACCTGTCCACTGCAAGGGCTCTGTGGCTGGCTTCATATTTTGATTTAGAAGCATGCTGTCTTTTGTACAGGCGTGTGTGTGCCTAAGAATAAAGGCACAGTGTCTTGTCTTCCAGCAGACAAGCTTCCCTCTTGCTCAAGTTCAGCTATGTCTCTGTGCAGAGTGGGGAGCTGGCAGTTCTGCTGCAGACAGGCAAGCTCTATGCATGCTTTGTACAGGGGCTTTTCAACCTCAGCCTAATTTTAGCTATGGGAAGTTGTCAGCAAAGGTTTTTTCTATTAGCACTTTCCTAAAATACTTCCTTGCTGTGTACACATTTACACATTACCCACCTCTCCCCTCTTTTATTTTTTGCCTTACAGCTTCTGACATGAAGAAAGATATAGAGTCTTTAATAGCCCAGGAAAAAGCAGAGATCGTTGCCAAGTATGAGAAGGTACCAACCTCCTGTTTCTCCCTGACATGCTGGCTAAGGCTGAAGCTATTCAAACAATTAGGAATGCTTCGAATAAGCACTTTTGCCCTCCCTGCAGGCATCGCTCCAGAAACCCTCATGCCCTCAGGCTTTATGCCAGCTCTCCCTACCTGCTTCTGCCTGCACATCCCCGGAGTTTCACACTGATCCCATGTGTGCTCAGCATGATACTGAAAGGTCCTGGGCTTATGGTGTTTTAACTCTCCCTTAACACCAGGATGGCTTGTGCCCAACGGCACTGGTTTCTCTGATGCACAGCCCTTCCCAGCCCATAGCCGAGGCACATCAGGATGAAGTTGTGCATTTTTCTCTTGCCTGCGTTGTATTTGTCTCTTCAGAGCAGGTTTTGCTCTCCTGGCTCAATGCCGTCTAGCGTGTGGGGAGAGAGGGATGTAGGCACTGGGGTTGGGATGCAGGCACTGGGGCATTGCCGATGCTGGCTCACAGATGTCCTTTCTGCTTTCAGGGCAGGCAGGAGGGAGCTCAGATTGACCCATGGGAAGATGCCAATTTCACGCTGTATAAAGTTACAGACCGGTTTGGATTCCTGCAGTAAGTCCTCCTGCCACCTCCTGTCCTCTCTGATCCAGGTGTCTGAACCATCTGTCTACACCGAGCATGGCAGACCCAGCGTCTTTCCTATAAGCTGCTCTGTGGCTTGATCTATCCCAAGTGCAAGAGGAAAGACTAGATGTGCCTCCTCCCTCAACCACACATGTTCAAACACTCTGGTTCTTTGAATCTGCTGCGAAGCAAGGCTCAGGAATGGTTTCCCATCACAAGCCTGGTGTCAGAACATGCAGGCTGGTGCTCCTGTGCCTCTCTGGAGGCCCATGGTGGGAGGGGCTCTTGTATTTGCACCTGATGATTCAGGGAGGCATAGGAGGAGATGAGAAGATGCCTGATCAGTCTTGGTTCCCTTAGGAAATTGCCATCTTAAGCAAAGTACAGATGAATTAGATGCATACCCTGTGCCTGGGAAGAATGGTTAAAAGATCTATCTTTATTCCAAATCTGAACAAAAAGTTACAATATTATTTTGTGTGCAGGAGAGGGTTTTCCAGAAATTCCCTCTACCCTCCTTAATTGTTGATCAAGTGTGTATTGAAGTGTAGCTTAATGCCCAGGATTTCCAGTGATGTCCAGTGCTTGTTTACGCCCCAGCAGCTCCCGTAGGATAGTGGGGTTTTGGCTGGGTGCTTCCTCTGCCTTTTCCTTGTTGGGGACAGCTGTGGGAAAGGCACAAACCCCCTGAGCTGTATCTCCTCACATGCCCAAGGTGGTCCCTGAGCTGCAGCACCCTGTGTTCCGCTGCATCCTTTCTTGCCCATATTGTAACAGGTGACCTCTTGCTTTTCCAGCGAGCAGGAGCTGCCGATCCGCACGGCCTTGGAGGAGTTTATTGTTGCTGCCGTCTCCATCAGTCTCCATCATCGTGGGTGTTGGATCCTTGTCACACCAGCTGGGGAGGGGCTGGGTTTTGAGGAAACAAATCTGCAAGCCAGAGCGAAGCAGGCAGCCAGCGCCCTCTGGTCACTGCTGCACATGCAGAGGTGGGATCTCTGCACGATGCCTGGCGGTTGGAGCTTTTATTTTGCTCGGTCAGGCATCTTCCCTACCCCACACTGCACTGAAATCGCACCTTTTAAAGCAATTTTGGGCTTTTCCCTCTGCTTTGGCACAGTGCTCAGCAGCTGTGGCTTGAAAAGGGGGTTGCACATATTAGGGAAAGCGATGAGGATTGTAGGTAATGGTCATCTCCATCCTCATCTCCCCTGAGCTGGGAGCATGTCCTCTGTTAGGATTCTAACTGGGACTTAGTAGCACCTCGTTTCTGCCAGTCTGATATGATGATACTATCTGAGGCTAGCTGAACCTGCAAAGGATTTATTGTCAAGAATACTCCTCTTGGAAATGCTTTCACCATGTTAAGTCTGTGTGTCTCATTGTTTTTACCAATGCTGCTGTAATTACCACAGGTTGAAATTGCCACTTCTTGTAAACACCTGTGGATTATTCCCATCCCCAGTGCCAGGTCTTTGCATAGAAGTGTAAACGTAAAGAGAATGAAGTTTTGTGTTTTCAGGAGGTATCTGTTGGGGTTTTTTGTCTTAAATCTGTCTTGTCTTCTTCCCCCTTGCACCAGCAAAAACAGCAGGAAATCGAACGTGTGGACAAGTGGCTGAAGATGCTGAAGAAATGGGGCAAATACAGAAACAGTGACAAGGTAAGGAGGACAGTAAAGAGCACGTGTCCGGAGGGAGGGGCATGGTACCTCCTTCCAGGGAGTCAGGCTTTTGAAAAGTTGATAGAGAAACCAGAGATCACTGGAAAATATTGCCTAATTCTACCTGTTAGTCTTTAATATTTTAAATCTTTCCTTGAAGTTGCTGGATTATCAGTCGCGGGAAAAGTCCTGCTCTGACTAGCATCGTTTTAAAAATGGTTTCCTAAATGCTGCTGATGTTTTTGCACTTCTGCTTCCCTGTGCAAGCAGGAGCACAGCAAAGATGTTTGTGTGCCCAGCTGGGTCCCTGCCCTGAGAGCAGGGGGCTTTGCATGCCGTAGGACACTTCCATGTCTCTACCACCTGGGAACGGAGTGGGAGATGTGACTCATACGGTCCACCTGATGTTCCTCGTAATTCTCCCTGGAAGAAGAATTATTTGTCTAAGACAAATAAAACTAAAAAAAGAAAACCAACAAAATCTTACCTTCGATACAGCAGGGATTGGAGTGGGGATAGGCTTGTAGTTTTATAATCTTTCTGTTAACTTCAGGGTGAGTCTAATTATTTTGTGCTGCTCCATGGGCAAAAATGGAGGCTCTCCTGTGGCTTTGGTTTTTCTAATTAGAAGTTAGCACTAATTGGTTGGTGGCCTTGTGCGTAAAACACCAAATTCCAGCAGAGTGCAGGGATTTCTTTCAGGTCCTGGAGAATCTTTGGGATGGTTAATAAGTGTTTTGAGCATGCTGTGGCTTCACTGCATCAGCTCTTGGGGGCAAACAGGATCCGGGGTGAGGGGTGTGGGGAGCAGTAAATATTTTGGATTTGCCTAATTAGTGGGTGTGTTAAGCACGCTGCAGCCCACGTTGCTCAGGTCGGCTGGATGGGGAGGGGCTAAACCGGCAAGCAGGTTTTGAGGGTCTTTGGGTCAGAAAATCACAGACCTCTTGAAGTGGAATAAATGATGCTCTTTATAACAGCCCGTAGATGGTTGATGACTAGGATCCACAGACGTGGCATTGTCCCCGTGCTGGGGGACTGGAAATGGCTGTTCCCCCTCCCAGCAAACGGAGAAGCAGCGCTTGGCCCCGGGCAGGGAAGGAGCAGTCTGGTGACCCCAGGGAGCAGAAAGGAGTTTTGGGTTTCATCCCATCCAGCCTAACGCCCCTCTGCCTTGTGCCGGGGCAGATGCAGGCAGGAAGGTTTGTGCATTGGAGCAGCCACACAGTATTAAGTGCAAAGACCCTGAGCGGCCCAGAAAAAGTGCTTTTAAAAAATGATAAATTTAGGTTTTATCCTTCACCTGGATGTGCGATCCCATACTCTTGTGTCAGGAGCGTGGAAGCTGCTCCTCTGCTGCCGTGGCTGGATGCAGCTCAGATGTGGTGTTTCATGGACCTTAAGCTGGGATCACTGTCATGCCCTTCAGATGGCTGTGGGTTTTTCTAGCTAAGTAAATGTGACAAGCCTTCGATCTAATTTTTTTCGAGTGGAGTGGGCTGGTTTTGTTCCCTCACTGAGCATTCAGGCTGCCACATCTGCACTGCATGTTTCCTTCAGATTTGTTTTTGGCACTTTGCTGACGTGATGGAAGCCTGAGTGTCACAAGACAGCAGCTCTGTGTTATTTTAAATGCAGGCTAGGGTGTCATCTTTGTGGGGGAAAAGAAAAATCTTACTGAAGACAGGAGCCTTCCCTTTGATGTCTATTTTGATAGACTGCACTTTATTAGAGGAAAAAGCATCTTGTTCCTTGTTTCACAGGGAAGCTGCCCTGACTTTGGCTCTGCTCAAATGATGTAGAAACCCGTCTTATTTTACAGGCTGGGACTTTCTGGACTTCAGGGCCAACCTTTTGAGTCCCAGTTCATGTGCAGGAGCTAGTGGAGAGTGGGCTACAATGAGTGCTTGAAGAGGTACCCTGGGCTTTATCAAGCAGGCTGTTGTGTTTTGCAGCATCTTAGTACCTGATCGGTGGTTGTCTCGGCTTCTGAGCTGTGAAATGGCAGCAGGAGGAGGGAGGTTGTGTACCCATCCAGGGCACTGACCCCATCAGCAGGCGAGAAAGCAGCCTTTTCAGACCCCCAGCGCGAGCCATCGTCAGAGATCAGCAGGCTTTGCTTTCTATTCCTTCAGCCGCTGCCAGTGCGCATCCCTGCGTTCTGCCGGTTGCAGTCTGGGTGTTGTGGCTGTCACAGATTATAGGAAATAAGGCTGTAAAAAAGAAAGCCCTCAAGAGGAGAGCCTTTTACAGTCCCTAGCCCAGGATGGCCCGGCTATGCCTTACATCATTCCTGGCATAACCTGTTTCAGGTTGAGCAACAAATAGGATTATCGTAATTGAAGTGATGCCCTGGGGCTCCTTGTGCTCATCACCACATCAGATCTGTCTCCATCTCTGTTCTAGACACATTTCCTAGCGATCTTACTTAATTTCAGTAGCAACAACATCCAAAAGCTGACACCAGCACAATTCCTGGCATGGATGAGGTTAGACTGCTGCAGTGGTGCCTTTTCCTGACTGTACTTCCATGAGGGGAAGGGTACGAAACCAAAGGAGTCCGTGCAAGGACCACAATACTGTGCAGAGTTAAGGTACATTAAACCTGCAAAGAAGTGCTATATTGTGTAATTCGTGGTTCAGCCCAGGAAGGCTCAGGTGGTCTGTCCCTTCTTCACTGCTGTTTTAAACCTGAGTTTAAATTCAAGCCTGACTCTGCTTGGGAAGGTTAGGAAATGGTCAGTGCCATGTAAGAATGTACACAGTTAAGGCAGCACAGTTTTTCAGAGAAAAGAGGTTGTGCTGCATTCACTCCAATAGTGGGATAATTTATCCATTGTAGCCTGAAATAAGTGGATTTCAGCCAGAAGTATCAGTCCTAGGAAGAGGATATGACCTCCGCATCATTTGCAAGCTGCTGCTTGCTGCTGGCCCTGTGGGATGGGACCTTTAGAGAGGGATGTATTCGGTCAGAGATGTCTGGGTTTTAGGCAAAGCCTGTCTTTGTGCACTTTAGCCTTGTCTCTGCTAAGGTCATGGTAGTGCACGGCGCTTAATCCAGCGCATGCCAGCAAAGCGGTTTAGGATGAATCAGGACTCTGTATGGACTGACATGGACCCCCAAGCGTGAATAATCTGCCAATGCTGGGGAGAGACAGCAGACATTTGTAATGTCGGGGCGGTTGAAGTCAGGTCTCCTGCCCTCAAATGCTATGGGGAAGAAAGAGGGTTGTGCCTGGGAGCTGCAGGGTGATTTCTGCAGCTGGTTTTTGCCATTTTGGAAAGGCAGGTAGCATTTTCCTCTCCTCCAATGGTAGCCATGGTAATAAATGTAAATGCCCACCCATGACACATCAGCTTTAGGGTTTAAATTTGTCCCTGCTGTGCTGCCAAAGCCCCCCCAGACCTGCTGGCACCCCATCCAGCATAGCCAAGGCTCCAGCTGCAGGGACAATAGCTGAGTTTGTCCATACAGAAAGAAAACCCCACGCACAGCAAAGCCCAGGCTGCTGAGTGTCTTGCACAGCCACATCGTCAATCAGCCAGCTTCATGGTACAAAAATGACCTCTTCTCCGGGGGGAGGTGTGGTGGTGGAGGAGGAGGCTTCACCCACCACTCCAGGAGATTTTCACAGCTCAGCTTCCCTGGCACATCACTGGTGGAGGAAGTGAAGGAACCCTTCCTCTCCAGAAGGATCACTCTGAGCCCTAAAGGAACTGAGAAAATGGGGCTGCCCCCACTTTAAGATATTGGAGATATATGGAGGGTATACGAAGAGGATTGAAAGTGAAATTGCCATGCATACCCAAAAATTTGGGCATGACTCTTGCAGTCTTTTCCTGGTGGACCACACACAGGGCTGAGAAGCTAACAGTGACAGGTTCCAAAACGTGTAAGTGTGCCAAAACGTGTATATTCTGCTTTAAAAAAACAACCCGCCACTCCCAAACATTTTTTAACTTCAATGTCTTAACTGATGCAAAATCATGTCCTGTATGTAAAGGCACTGACTCCACTCCTCTAATTAAAGCCCTGGCACACGTGGTTGAGTAATCCTCAGAGGAGACCTCCGATGCAGAGGATGGACCTCAGGTCTGTACTTCTGGAGTCTTCCCTATTCCATCTGCTAGAAGGAAAGTACATGGGGAAGGGGGTAGATGGAGATGGGGTGACGATGGCCTCTTTGCTGTGAACTTCGTATGTTAAAGCCTAAAGAGCCTCTTTAAGCTTTTAAGAGATGATCCTTTGGCAAAACCCAGAGCAAGTATTAAACACTGCGGGTTCTTTCCCTGGCTCTGACACAGCCTTTCTACACAGCACCTTGAGCCGTTGTTTCAACCACCAGCATTTCCGTCCGTGGGAC